AAGAAGCTGGTGATCCCCGGAATCAGTGAAGGCAGCCATCAAACGCCTTCATGAGAACACCGGCCATAGAAGCAATGTGAGGCTGGCGAGAGCTTTGACTTTGGCTGGAGCCCCAGCTGAGGCGGTGGTGGCGGCGAAGCGCCATCAGTGCGCGGTTTGTCAAGAGCGCAAACCACTAAAGGTGCAGCGTCCTGCTTCCTTGCCAGCACCCAGAGATCTTGGAGACCAAGTTCACCTGGACCTTTTGGAAGTGGAGGACGGCCGTGAGAGAAAATACTTTGTGGCCCACTGCCCTGACTATGCCACTCGGTTTCAAGCAGCCGAGATTTTGAAGGATAAGTCCACGGGAGAAGTGATTCGCTTCATGCAGACCAAGTGGCTGCCGACCTTCGGAGCTCCACGAGTTCTTGTTTGTGACCAAGGCCGTGAATTTGTGTCTTGGCAGTTTGAAGAGTGGTGCTCCTCAATCTCCACCTTCTTGTACCACATCGCAGTGCAAGCCCCATGGCAAAACGGGGTGGCAGAGAAAAGTGGAGGTATCATTAAGACCATCCTGGCGGCGATTGTAACTTCCAAGGCGGTTGTCACCCCTGAGGAGATGGACTTGGCCTTAGCTGAAGCCGTCGCCGCCTACAACGGCGACATTGATGGAGAGAGTGGAACTTCAAGCCGCTCTCGGACGCCAACCTCGGATGGTGGGTGATGTCCTGGGTGGAGTGCAGCAACGACTGGCTGAACATGGGCTGATTGACTCCAAACCTTCCTTGGCCCGACAGCTAGCTCTTCGTGAAGTGGCAAAAGTTGCTATGACCAGATTGCATTTCTCCCGGAGATTGAGAAAGGCAGAGCTTGCACGTTCTCGCAATCCCACAGTTCAAGACCTACCAGAGCCTGGGAGCATCTGCTACTTCTATCGGCCTTTGCGCTTCAACCGCAAAGACTCTGCAAGTCGAAAGAGATTGAGTTTGAAGCGGTGGCATGGACCTGCTCTGATGGTGGCTCGTGAAGGCAACTCCAACGCCTTCCTGTCCCACAAAGGTCAATTGACCAAGTGTGCTCTTGAGCATGTGAGAAAGGCGAGCACTATGGAACAAATTGCTGCAGGCACCTGGCGTGAAGCCATTGAGGAGGCCGTGGAAACGGCACGTCTTGAACTTGCAGCTCCAAAGCCTGGCGAAGCTCCTGTGTTGTCTGCCGTGCCTGAGGAGAACATGGATGAAGATGATGAAGTTCCGAACCCTGCAACACCGGGTTTTCTACCATCCTCTTCGGCAACGATGATTGGAGATGGAGCTCAAGCACTACATGGTGATGACCTACCTCCTGCACAAGCGAAGGAGCTGTTGCCCATCATGATTCCTTCTACTCCAGCTATTCCTTCGCAGGTGGGATCGACCATTCCGTCTCGACGAATGAGTGGGCTTGAAAGCGTCTCTCCTTTCCCAGACGCTGTGAGACGAGCGCATGAGAGAAGGGTGAGTGAACCAGTTCCTGCCGGAGCACCTGAACGAGCCCTACCAGCTGACGCCAGTGATGGAGGTGGAACCAAGCGAGCAGCTGAGACTGATGCCGAGCAGCTGCGCCGAGAAGATGTTGACTTTGGCACTGTACCAGGCAGCTCTTCCGAAGCACTTCAAGCTGACCGACTTCCTGGTGAAGAACCAAAGTTGAGTCGTGAACAACTTCAGCATTTGCTTCAGCAACCCAACTTGCACCCTTTGTCGCAAGCCTTCTATGGTGCATGCTTGGACCAGCTGGATCCTTTGGAGTCGGAGGTCAAGGACCACGGCACATGGAGCGGTCGATGGGGCTTACCATCGAGAAGTGAGTGGCAAACCTTTCAACGCCTGGGAATGTCATGGCCCACTGGCGCACCTTCAGATCATGAAGTACAAGCCGCTCAAGCCACCAGAAAGGAATTCCATTGGAAGCAAATGTCAGCTGAGGAGAAGGAGGCCTTCACCAAAGCGGCCAAAGAAGCTTGGTCCGTATGGGAGGAGAACGACGCCATCGAGATCCTCAGCGAAGAAGAGTCAGCCATGGTGCGAAAACGTGTTGCGGCCAATCGAGAAGACGGCCGTGTGCTGACGCCTCGGTATGTCTTTACCGATAGTCATGAGAGCCTGAGGACGAAGGAGAATCCACTACCTCTTAAAGCTCGCGCTCGGGTCATCGTCCCTGGCTATAAAGACGTGTTTTCCTTTGCCCTCAGAAAAGACGCTCCCACTGGATCGAGGATCAGCCAACATATGATCTTCATTCACACTGCCGCCAATGCCAAGAAGTTCGACGATGAGAAGAAGAACTGGCGTTTGATGAGCGCAGACGTCAAAAGCGCCTTCCTCAAAGGTGATGCATACATGGAAGGCACCAGGGAGTTGTTCCTGGAGAATGTCAAAGGAGCTGAGTCAAAGTTGCCCTTCGGTGATCGTTTGGCAAGGATTCGCAAAGGAGTCTTCGGGCTCAGTGACGCTCCTCGACAATGGTACTTGGGCCTGAACAAGTCCTTCCTGGCGGCTGGATGGGAGAGAAGCGTGTGCGACTACGCCTGCTGGCTTTTGTGGTCACCTGACCACAGTGTGCTTGAAGGCATCGTGCTGTCCCACGTGGATGACTTGTTGCTTGGAGGCAATGCTCGTGCACAAGCGAGCCTGATGGAGATCGGCAATGAGCTCGGTTTCGGAAGCGTGGAGGTGGATGATTTTGTGTTTTGTGGCAAAAGAATCCGTATGCTGCCCTCTGGCAAGGTCGAGCTCAGCATGACCGAGTATCACAAGAACCTCAAGCCGATTCCTGTGAGCATGGCCCGTAAGGCTCAAGCCTCCGACACCCTCACGGACAGCGAACGTCGACAGCTTCGAGCAGTCCTCGGTTCCCTGCAGTGGTTGGTGGCCCAGTTAAGGTTTGACCAGGGCTTCAGTTTGAGCTCACTTCAAGGTGAGAAACCAACGGTGTCAACCCTCCTTCGTGCTAACAACTTGCTCAAGGAGTTCCAGGCGAAGTCTGAGTTCACCCTGGTGTTCAATGGCATGGACCTTTCCCGTGCCGGGATCATGGCCATCTCCGACGCTTCGTTGGGGAACACCACCAAAGAAGGAGGAACAGATGGAGAAGCCCATGAACGCCTCTATAGCCAATCCTCGTACTTCATCGTGCTTGCCGACCACGACTTGCTGAATGGCAGAGAGGGGACGTTCGCAGCGGTGGACGCAAGAAGCCACCGCCTTCCGAGAGTGTGCCGCTCAACCTATGGGGCAGAACTCATGGGTGTGGAAGAAGCCATGGACAGTGGCGTCTTTTGCAGAGGATGCTTCGGTGTCTTCAGCGGCCTTCCAATGCACCGCCGCGATGCCCACAAGGTGATGGAGGAAATCCCCATGGTCAGCATCACAGATGCGAAGGACACCTACGACCGAGGGAACTCGGACACCAACACCTACGGTGCCCAGAAGTCCCTAGCCTTTTCAGTTGCTTGGGTCAGGAGCATCCTCAATGGGAAGAACACTTCATTGAAGTGGACGGCTACGGCCAACATGTGGGTGGACGCTGGCACGAAACTCATGCCTTTGGACCACATGCACCGCATCCTAGCCTGCGGAAAATGGAGTTACGTCTACAACCCGACCTACGTGAAACAGCCCAAGAAGAAGAAGGTCAGCGGCGCTGTTAGTGGGATAGTTCCTGGAGTTGCTGTCGAGGCAAAACGGCCATTTTGCCTTTCCTGCAGAACCTCTGCAGAAGTCCTGGATGGCACCAACGGGAAGGGTTCGTAGTGCATGTTGCTTTTGAAGCCAAATCGTTCCGCATCCCGGATGCTCGATATGGAGCATGGCGGTTTCCTCTCCGAACGACCTATGGCAGGTTTGACTTGGCTGATGGCCGATCTGTGTGGAGGTTGTTGGAAGAGAATGTAGAGTTGAGCCAGCTTCCCAAGAAGCAAGACCTTTTGGAGCGACCTGCCGGCTGTTTGATCACCGTGTTCAAGTCTCGGATCAAGAAAGAGATCCTAGGTGAAGAAGCATGTTTGCATGAGCGCATTTGATCCGGACATGTTCACGTCGTGGTTGTTTGGGCTGGAGGCGCCTAAGCCAATAGCTACTGCTGTTTTCGCCTCGGTGGAAAATCGCTGAAGCGCGACACGCCCCCGTCGTGCTTTCTCAATATGCGAAAAAGACTCAGTGTAATAAGTGGTTCTGGTAGCAGATTTGCAAGGTTGACAAGCACACTTGTACATGCAACAGACCTGGCCTCGTAGAGAAGATTGTGGGTAGAATGATGGGTAGCTCATTTGTTTAATGGGTTGGGGATGATGGGTGATCCCATGAAACATGGTGAGCGTGCCTAATGATGGGTATCCAATGGATGAAAGGGCACGGACATGAGTGCAGACAACTCAATTAGAAAAGCCTTGCCCACAGTTGAAGTAGGGTACCCTGAATACAGACAGGGTGTGCCACAAAAGGCCAAAATCAAATCGACAAGTTATTGGGTTGGAGAAAAGGTTGGAGATCACTGATTCAGGTCCATCTCTGCAGATTGGTTACGTCGAATTGTTTAGAGGTTGGAAGGTTGGAAGACACGCTGGTGTGCCACAACGGCCTGGTAACTTGTTGAATGATTTTGTTGCAAAATGCCTTTCAGATGTTCTGAAGACAAAGCTCTGATATGCTCTGATACTCAATCGCATTTGAGAACACTGACTTGACCAGGTGATGCTATGGTCGCTAGGTAATACGGAGAAAGAGGGTATGAAAAGAGCTATTGGCAACTTCAATGTTAAAGAGATGCTTTAAAGGTGTTCAAACACCTTTTCTGTGCCCTCTTGCTCCTATATCATCCCCACAAAAAGGGCTCTTACCCACAGCACCGGTGATGGCCGCGATGTTTGCTTGTTTGCTTTTGGTTTCGGCTTCGTTTTCCAAGAGGTTTTTAGAGCTAAAGCACATTCGGTCTTTAACCACCTGATTGTCCGGTATGGTGGCACCAGAGCCACGGCGCAGGATCTTCTCCAAGCGGCTTTTGAACGACAAGGCAGCAGAACGTGATTGTGGTGTTGGCATCGTGGACTTCTGACGATGTACTTGCTTGGAAAAGACAGTTTGGGCAGCAAAACAGGATGTGCTGAAAAAGCTGGCTCTTGTAGTCATCTACCTCCCGAAAATCCAACAGAACTTGTGGGCCACTGTGAGGCTGCTTGATTCTACGGATCAGGTTGACTGGGGTTCCATGTGATGCATTTTTGTGGGTGGACTTCGAACGCATTTGGTCAGGCATCAACAAAGATTGATGTTCTTTGCAGCTGTGAGTCATGTTCTCCTCTACTGGCTGGGGTCTGCACTGTGCTACTGCCACTGCTACTCAAACTGCTGCACATCAGCTCCAATGGGCGTGCTTACATAATATACACATGGCAGCAGGAGGATTAGGTGTCCTGTGTAAACGATCCATTTTGCATTTTCATACGTCTTTGACTGTGTTAAACACAGATTGATGGTTTGCCAGATTGACCAGGGCTGACTAAGGTTTAGTTGCAACATGTTGCCACCAGCTGAAGGGCTTTCACAATTCCTCACTTCAATCTACTGTACTTCTATTGGTTCGCCAAACTGTTAACAGCAGGAACCAATTCCAATCCTAGAGCCGCACAATCGCTTTTTCTTTGTACAGAAATTGCTGATAAAGATTGCGTAGCAGTGTTCACAAATACGTCCATATAGTCTACTGGGCGTAGGTTGTGGCCACACCATGTGATTGGTGGCCACAGCAATAGAGAGCACCATCAAAGCAATTCATTCATAGCTGCAAAACATTAAATTGACTCCGAGATGGACCCGAAGTAGGCTTTCCTCCTTTTTGAGGCACCGTGTCAGTCTGCCGCAAGTGATCTTGCTGTCTCACAAGAACTGACTGGTGAGTCCTGGTGAGTGTACCTTGGAGGCCACCGCTCTTAGGTTGGAGGCCATCGTTCTTCTTAGGTTTGAGACCATCGCTAGTAGGTTGGAGGCCATTGCTATATGAATTTTCACAACCCCTGCCGAGTTCAAAAAAACATAAATTATATCTTCTTGAGAGTGTGAGGATGTGTTAACCACTTGCTTTTTGGACTAGGAGGGTTTTTGCAGCTGGTTCCTTCAATCAGACATTCTGAGGCCATTTTCCTTCATGACTTGTTTGCTCAGGTGACGGGGGGCACAAGCAAACAACACAAATATGCAAATGTGAAAAAGTGTCAGAAAAGGACATAATTTAGGAATTGGTGAAACGTTTGCCGAACTGACTTTTGTTGAAAAAACACGTCACTCAATCCAATCTCCTGTTTGTCCATTTGTCCTGACAAGTATTGCCTGGGGCGCGCTGTGCGCTCTTTTTTTGCAACCAAACCAAACCACGCAGCTTTGCAGCATCCCTGCTGGAAATACCCAGGGAGAAGAGTTGACGGCAATGGTCGCAGGAACTTGCACGTGGAACACTGGAACACATTTTTGTTTGTCAAGAAGCCTAAGCAAACGTAACTGTTTAAAACAAATAGTATATAGCAAAAAGATGGAGCAACATTCCGAGGAATGCATATCTTTTTTCACATATTTTTGCTGAGAGCAAAGCTCCACACAAAAACATACAGCAAAAATTCAGAACTTATATACGATATTAAGAATTTGCCCTCCGCAGGCGCATACTTTTTAAAATCTTACGTAAGTCATTCTTAAGTCTAACGTTCCTTCAAGTTAGGAACTGCAGGATTTGCCCGCCGCAGGTGGATTTCTTTTTCAATGTCCTTAGACTTTGCCCGCCGCAGGCGCATATTTTTTGGTGACAATTCTGAAGTCTCTAAATATATTTGGACTTAAAGGATTTGCTCGCCGCAGGCGCAATTTCTTTTTGAATCTTGAGGACCCAAAGTTAGCCACACAACCAATTGTTTTTGGTGGGATTTTGCTCCCAAAAACAATTATAAGAACAACATATTTTTTTTGTGGGATTTTGCTCCCAGAAAAACTATAAGAAAACAATTTTTTCTTACATTTTTTTGGTGGGGTTTTGCTCCCAAAAAAATATAAGAAAATAATGTTTTCCTTATATTTTTTTTGGTGGGGTTTTGCTCCCACAAAAATTATAGGAAAATATGTGTCTTCTTATATTTTTTTGGTGGGGTTTTGCTCCAAAAAAAATTATAAGATGTTCTTATATTTTTTTGGTGGGGTTTTGCTCGCACAAAAATGATAAGAAAATGTGTTTTTTTCTTATATTTTTTTTGGTGGGGTTTTGCTCCCAAAAGAAATAAGAAAATATTTGTTCTTATAATTTATTATCCTCCAGCCGATGAAGACAACACAGCATTCTTTTTCTGGTTTTGAAGCTTTTTTGTGTAGTTCATATTCATGAGATCGCAGAAATCCTATGAATACAGTTGCTCACAAATCTCTTGCTTTGCAGGAAAAAATGCTGTGTTGTCTTCATGGGCTGGAGGATTATAAATTCTAAGAAAAAAACTTCATATAATTTTTTGGGGGGATTATAACTTTTTTGGTGGATTTTTCAATTAATTTCTTATATTTTTTTCTGGGAGCAAAATCCCACCAAAAAAATTATAAGAAAAAACATATTTTCTTATGTTTTTGAGAGCAAAACCCCACCAAAAAAATTATAAGAAACATATATGTTCTTATATTTTTTTGAAGCAAAACCCCACCAAAAAAATTATAAGAAAAGATATGTTCTTATATTTTTTGGGAGCAAAACCACACCCAAAAATTTATTTTCTTATAATTTTTGCGGGAGCAAAACCCCACCAAAAAGTTATAAGAAAAACAATATTTTCTTAGAATTTTTGTGGGAGCAAAACCCCAGCAAGAAAATTATAAGAAAAAGAACTATGTTCTTATAATTTTTTTGGGAGCAAAACCCCACCAAAAAAATATAAGAAAAACATTATTTTCTTATTTTTTTTGGGAGCAAAGCACCACCAAAAAAATTATAAGAAAAAATATGTTCTTATAATTTTTTTGGGAGCAAAACCCCACCAAAAAAATTATAAGAAAACAATTATTTTATTATAATTTTTTTTGGTGATGAAACGAAAGACCGAAACGAGTCTTGAGGAACCTTGGACTGATCTTGCTGTCACGGCCCAAACGAAGGCCTTGAGTCGATCTAGCTGCGCCAGTGAGAAAACGCCATGATGTGCGTCGGGATGGATCGTGTTTGAGTGTTTTTACATTCTTTTACATCCTACCTTGTCAGTGGTAGCGGAGCGTGGTTGACGATGATGTTCAATACAGTACCCACGGATCCCTGGCAACATTGGAACCAGCAACAGCGTGCAGATGCTTCAAGTCGGAGGCCCTTTGTTGACCGGACGGGATCGAGTTCTCAGACCTCACAACCTTTTTCCGCTGCAGCTTTCGCTTCAACCTTAGGTTCAGCTCAGCCGCAGGCGCCACAACAAGCAGATGCAGGAACATCAAGTGTTCCTACTAGTGCCTTCAATCTTCTTGGGAAGCAGGCCCCTCCTTTGAGCACTGCCCCTCCTCCAGGTAGACAGTCACCGGACCAGTTGGTGGCAAACGCTCTGAATCAGGCGTTGACTGGAGAGAAGCGTTCGATTCCCACTTGGAACGGGTCGCCCTCGACACTTCGATCTTGGTTGAAGTTGCTAGCAATTTGGGAATATGAATCCACAGTTCCCATGGACAAACGAGGCATTAAGTTGTTGCAGAGTTTTCCAGATGGTTCTCAACCGCGTCACATTGCGGATACAGTCCCTGTTGAAGTTTTGCTTTCACCTCAAGGGTACGGTGAGATCCTTTCTGCAATCCACCAGAAGTACGCCCCGTTTCTTGAGGCTTCAGCACCACAGGCCATTGATCATTTCTTGTTTGAGGGTGAGAGATCCAAGGGTGAGTCGTTCAGTGCATTCATTGCGACAAAGCAGTTGCAACGACAGGAAATGGAGGCACAGATGGGTGAGCGTGTGTCAGACAAACTCTGCGGTCGCATTCTTCTTCGTCAAGCAAACCTCAATGAGTTGCAGCGTGAGAAGGTTACATTGCGAGGACCTGCATTGAGGACATTTGACGAAGTTGCTAACATGTTGAGGCCTTTGGACAGACCGGAGATTCTCGCTCGGACCACCGAGGCGGGATCAACGTCCAAGGCCTACGCAGTGTTTGACAACATGCCACCGGAATACGACATCGCAGCACAAGACGAAGCTCCTGAAGTTGAAGAGGAATATTTTGAAGAATGGAGCGCAGATGAGGACGAAGAAGGTTTCCCTTTGGTTTACTTCGAGGACAGAGAGCATGATGAAATGGAGGCCATGGAAATCATGGCCTATCATTCAGCCTACCGTGATGTTCGCCGAGAGTTGCAGAAGAGACGCAATGAGCGAGGTGCCGTACGACGAGACAAAGGCGGCAAACATGGAGGCAAAGGCTCCTTTGGAGTTCGAAAGGGGAAAGGAAAGACAAAAGGCAAACGCAGCAGAAAAGGCTCAGCCAACCGAGGAAACAAAGGCTATGAGGAAGACCTTGAACAGAGGACAAGATGCTGGAATTGTCAAGAGCTTGGACACTTCTCAAAGAACTGTCCGTTGACTCGGGGAGCAAGTGGCAACCACAATTCAGTCTCCAGACGACCTCAGCAGTTTGTTGTGAGCAATGGTCAAGCCTCAATGAATTTAGGTACAGTGCAACAGTACATGCAGTACAGTGTGCGGCCACTCCCAAGCCACACGCCTCAGATTTTCATGCACGAGCAAGCTGTGACAAGGCTGTCGATTTACACCGGAGTTGTTTGTCAGCCTGGACAGGCCCTTGTGGACACTGCTGCCGAGGAAGCGGTCATCGGTTCCTCAGCACTACGCGCCCTGCAGCAGGAGTTGCGGAAGTTTGGACTTCGAACCATTCCGGTGGACTCCCACCATCCACGACCAAGTGCTGGCGGCATTGGTGGAGCAGCCATCGTAGAGAGCATGGTCGAGATTCCAATCGGTGTTGCACAGATCAACGGAGTCGTTCGTTTCACGGTTC